AATGTATGGAAGTTATCTTTGTTCAGATCACAGGAGGCGCTTAAAACACTATTCCTCTACATGTAAATACCTTTCGCAATTAACTGTTTCATTAAAAAACGCACATACAGCAATCTTTCTTGCACTTACAGCACCACAAGCACCAACTACAACCGAATGGCTTCACCAATTGTGTTGTCATTCTTGCACTAGACTTTGAGACTCAAATCTCTTGAGCTAGACATTTCAGTGATTTTCTAAGTGTACGTTCAAGTCTGGCTCCTATGTCATCTAACTTATCCTCAGTAAGCATTCAACACTTATGTTTTGTTTTTTTGTCTATTAAGAGTCCTGTTATTCTAAGATCATTCACCAAATTGTAAACTGTCTGTCTGGGAGCTCTTTCATTACAAAATTTACAAAGAAATGTTCGCCGACACTTTCCAGCAGATCTGTATTCCACATGTCATACAGAAATACCCATTGCTCTAAAGTTTAGTGAACCATGCCAAGCCATATTGCTAACTGTTAACTGGGAACATATGGCTCATGGTGCTAATAACTACTGCCTATTGCTCATAAATCATAAACTCCCATAAATGAACCACACATTGTCTGCCTTGTAACATAAGACTGTGTAGAGATCTACAAGTTAATTATTTTCCTTCGTGCCAAGCATTATTGGCTGTCATGCAAGGTGAGCCATCGGCAAAAATCACGTTTACTTTGCAGTGAAGTGCACAGCCGTGAACATGTCTGGTTAATAATGTTGCTGTCATCACCAGAATGCTAGACAAAATCATGAAATAAAGATAGGCAACACATCCAGTGAAAACGTGGCACAGTTCAGTAACAAATCAAAACTTGATTCAGGAGGAAATTAAGAGGAAAATGAATTCAGGTAATGTTTGCTACCATTCAGTCCAGAACCTTTTGTCTTCTCATGTGCTGTATGAAAACATAAAAATTATAACATACAAAATTATAATTTTGCCTGTAGTTGTGTATGGGTGCGAAATTTGGTCTCTGACATTAAGGGAGGAACATAGACTGAGGGTGTTTCAGAGCAAGGTGCTGAAGAGAATATCTGGACCAAAGAGAAATGAAGTGACAGGAGACTGGAGAAAACAGTGTAATGAGAAGCTTCATAATTTGTATTCTTCATCAAATATAATTAGAATGATCAAGTCAAGGAGGATGAGATGGGCTGGGCATGAAGCACAAATGGGGGAGAAGAGGAATGGACATAGGATATTGGCGGGAAATCCAAACGTTAAGAAACCACTATGACAACCAAGACACTGGTGGGTGGACAATATTAAAATGGATCTTAGAGAGATAGGATGGGGTGGTATGGACTGGATCAATCTGGCTCAGGAGAGGAACAAACGGAGGGCTATTGTGATCACAGCAATGAACCTTCAGGTTCCATAAAATGCTGGGAAGTTCTTAAATTGCTGCACAATTGGCAGCTATTCAAGAAGGGATCAGCTACATGAAGTTAGTTTAGTTAGTTATTTGCATACAAATATATTGAACATTTTGTGAAACAAAATATGACAGAATGAAGATCCATGACTGCAATGTTTTGTCCACTAATGAGACAGTGAGAAGAGTCTCCCAGGCCACTAAATGAATAATCCTTCAATAAGCGTAGCTCACATGTGAGACGGGCTCCCAGCCAGAACATAGCCATGCGTGTAATGTTTGTAGCACAATCAAGCTTCCACAGTTTTGGATGAGATAAGCAGAGGTGTTCTTGAAGCAACTTTAGATATTTGTGTCTCATTTGGATATTTTGTAGCACAAGAAAGGCAGAACAGCTGCATGGACAGAACTATGGACAACTTTCTGGTGGATGTTAGTAAACTAATGAACCAATTAACAGTCAAAATCCAATCCCAAATAAATCTCTAACAATCTTCGAACCCCATAAACAAATTTTAAATGGACACAATGAATAAAGAGTTCTTGCAAATACAAGGTGTGGCTATTAACTAATAGGACTGATATCATAAAAATATTTTACTGAAAGTTTTTAAGTACTTTGTAAGTTATTTCCTTCAAAGTGGCATGCAGTGTTGCAAGGATTCCTCCCATGCCAAGAAGCATATCTCAAAATTATTTTGTAAAAGCACTTTCTAGAGCTCTGTCTTTCTTTTCTGGGTATCCTCAATGGATTCAAAATGTGTTCATTTCAGTGAACACTTTAATTTAGAGAGGAGGAAAGAAATCGTGCAGAGAGAGATAAGGTGGAACGTAACTGAGTACAAGAACTTGTTTTTCGAAGAGAAATGGCTGACCCATTGTGTGCTGTGGCACTGTCTTGATGCATAATCCTACCACTCTCTACCTCTCTAACAACTTCAGTCGCTAGTTCTAATTATTTTTCATAATTTTGATAAAAGCTCAATGTAACACTTCTAATTTATGGTTTGTCTAGGTGGGACATATTCAGCTGTAACAATTCCTTTAAAATCAAGTAAAATAAGCAGGAACATCTCGATTTTCAATTCTGACAGTTTTGCTTTCTTTGGTCTTGAAGAGTGAGTTGATTTTCATTGGATTAACTACTGTTTGGTTTCTGAGTTGTACTGAAACAGCCAACTATGATTACAAGTGACCACATTATGCAAGAAGTCATCTTCTTTGATTTTATACAAAATGTCAAAACAGGTTTCTTTTCTTTCCAATCTGTTCTTGGATCAAATTTTCTGGCACCATCCTGGTGCAGACTCCACTCATGTCAATATTTCTGGTACCAATTTTTTTTACTGCTTCCCTAGTCATATTCATTTCTTCTGCTACCACTCTGATGCTCAGACAGTGATCATTTCATACAAGAGGACTCTCACTAGTGTTCATTGTTACTGGACAACCAAGTCATTCATCTTCCACCCCTCTCCCTCCCTAATAACTTCTTTCCCCTTATTCAAACACATTTGCCCTTGATAACTGGCATTTCAACGGCAGTTTGCTTCAGTTTTGTTACAAAAAATGTGTTTACACATTTAATTCTTACGCCTACCATTACCAGCATGTAGCAAAAACACTTCTTCTGAAGTAAAACTCTGTACCAAGACAACAAGTTGCTATACGCTTCAGCACGCAACTACAGAAAAGCTCAGGATTAACAGCCATGCATTCTGTTTGCAATGGGGAGAATTAGTTCAACGGCCACACCTTATACATAAAACTTCTAACATCATCATGACAAAACATGACGACACAGTCACATTCAGCAAGTTGTGGACTTGTATAACAGGAAACAGAATTCTCCTAAAGGCAGTTAAGGGTCAATCTAATGCACTGAAGCCATGTAGGAAACAGTGCCACCAATGGCGAATTATTATTTTCATACGTCTGTAACAACCAATCAGAAAAACAAACAATAAACACCCACTTTAATATTGTTTTAAATCTTTGTGCCTTCATTATGATGTAAGTAGAAGCAGTTTTTTGGATATTTTGGGTATAATTTACAAAGAGCATCTTTATGAATATAATACATTTATGTTATACTCAGGTTCCACTGTATTTCCATGCCTTCTCCCACGTCATATGATAATTATGGTTACGTTTGACAACTTTCTGCTTTGGGTCACTTAGAACACACCAAACTAGGCAGAATTAAAAAAAAAAGAGAGAGACTCCATTCACGTAATAATACTAATTCTAAAAGGAGACTCCATTCAAGCAATAATACTAATTCTAAACTGAATTAGGACAAAGCAGACCTGGTGAAACATCATTAATGTCCATATGCACTTCTTGTAATTATATGCCAACTAATACCGCCACTTCTGCTATGTGGTCTCTACTATTACCATGTATTTTCAATTCCCATAACTTCAAGGGGTCTGTCAGTAGGCTCAGCAAGATGAGACAGCAGTTCCTTCCTTCCCAGTTCTTGTTCAAAGTCTACAAATGAGTTGCTTAACTGTGGCAATTCACAAAACACATCGTTTTCAGGTTCCGAGTTCACTTGATCATCCTCACTTATGCCAGACGCAACGTTGCAGACCAAACAGTTGTCTCTATCCATTCAAAACAATGTAGCACACACCTGAAACATAAACTATAGTTCTTAATGTTCAGAAATAAATGAGGTTCCCTAATCAAACTGCTGTCTATTGGTACAATATAAAGCATCATGTTCGACATACAGTAAAACTTGGTTATAGCAACATCGGTTTCTGCGACACCTTGTCTATTGCGTCAAATATTCAATGGTACGAACTAATTCCTCATAAAGCAACTGTTTTTATACCTTGCTTAGTACGACATGCACAAATGCATCAACCTCGTATGTAACGTCATTTTCATTCCTGAATTTCTCTGATATCGTGGGAAAGTTCGATGTGTCTGCCCACCCTCACTTTCTCTACTTGCTGACGTGACTGTCCTGGAAGAATACGACCGCGGGCTGCAAGAGGAGCGTGGGTTTTATGCGAAAACAAGGGTGTGGGGTGGGACTGCGTGAATAGTGCAAGAGGATGCGGCAGGTTGTTAACTGCATTCCTTTCCTAGAATCTCGTCTAACAGGACCTCACATTGTCTACTTACCCTACAGTGTTCCTGCCTAAACCCAGAGAAGTGCAGTAGCGAAAACATGGCAATGAAAAGGAAAGTTTTAAGCATTGAAGAGAAAGTTAAAGTGATTCATGAAATATTGTGTGTATTGTCAGTGAAAAGCGCTGTAATATGTCTTTGATATTACACATTTGGGCAATTCCACGTTAATGTTACGTTAGTCTGTACTTAACTACGTATTTCACTAAAAAATGCAACATTTTAACTCGGTTTTGGGTAGATTTTTACGTAACTAACATAAGGTGTGGAAGTGCCCATTTCGGTTACAACGACATTCGTTTATAACGACACTATTTTTACATCCCTTTGATGACGTTATAACCAAATTCTACTGTATATATATATTAAAACACAGTTTTCATCATTATTTTGTATGGGCATGAAAGTTGGTCTCCCACTTTACAAGATGACCACAGATTAAGGGTATTTCAGAACAGTGTGGACCTACAAGGGAACAACAGGCTGGAGAAATCTGCACAGTAAATATCTTCAAAGTGTTTACTTTTCAAATGTCATTGAGGCAATGAAACCAGGGAGAATAAGATAAGCAAGGAATGCCACATGAATATAAGAAATACAAACAAAACTCTGGTCAGAAAACCGAAGAGAAGATATCTGAAGACCTATATGCAGACAGGAGAATACTAAAATGGACCTTACAGGAACTGGGTGGGACAATGCATACTGGATTCATCTGGTTCATGAGAGGGACACATTATGAAAATGGCAATGAATATTAGAGTTCCATGAATGGTGGGGAATTTGTAGATGAGCTGCACAACTATTACCTTCTTCCTAAGATAGTCTCTGCACCATGCAATGAGTTAACACTGGATTGTTTTCCTGAATCCTTTTTATGTTAACATTAGTGAAAACAATATTTTTCACTCCCACTNNCCCCCCCCCCCAAAATATGACAAAATTATTCAGATAAATATACACAGAAATTTACTCATTCACTTGAGCCCTTATCACCACCAGTTCTTATAAGAGCAGGCTGCCAGCTACTGCCCACCTTCTCTCTGTTAAGACTTCAACGTGCTACAAGACTGATGTAATTACAGGCTTATCCATGCTCAAAAATGTCTTCACTACACCCACCCCTTCACTTACCTGAAATTAAAACAGCCACTCGAAGTGGTGCTTTCCAGGATTCAATCTATAAAAATGTGGATTATTTCTGCAGACTCTGTATTACAATTTTTACCAGATGAGATGCACTTAACATTCACATCTGGGAAGTGTGATGGTCACAGCCCTATACTGCCTATTTGCTCATCAAGAGAGCCTGTAGTACCTGAACTGAAGGCTGTGTGATGCTTGCTGGTGAACTGTCCTGCTCAAAATATTCATATCTTATCCTCAGTTAACTGCTGAGAACTGCAATGCATTGTGGTTGGTCACCAAAAATGCAAGGAACACTTGCAGCAGACAGCCCACACAAAGGAACATGTAGCAGTTCATGAAAATGATTTATGCAATTTCTTATCGCTGTAGCCGTCTGTTTATATTACAGCCTAACTCAAGCTCTTCAGTTTCCCACATCTGTATGTGTGTTCATTTTTATGTGAGAATGTGCCTGGCTGCTGCATGACACCATCTGCAACAGCTACTCTAACATTAGGTACCCAAGTGGGTGTACCAATAATATTTATTGAATGTAACTGGGCCTTCCAAGCAAACCTCTGTGGTAGTGTGTTACATCCTCACTAGAAGGAAGCAGTCCATTAATTGGGGCTCCACTCTATATAGAGACAGTAACACGCCAGCACATAAAGGAATGAAATTAGGGCTAGGGCTAGATCAGGTACTAACGGCTCAGCTGTACGTATTTCTATCTGCATAACATCACTGACCCTATGAACATTCAACAGCTGAGAGCAGTAATTCTTCCAGCTCTTAAGAATGTTGTGGGAATGTGCAAGCAGGTCACCATTCTCATACTCTACTAAGTTACTTGCAGGTTGATAACCCTTCTTAAATGCATATATTCCTCAATACAGATATTCCTACAAAGGCAAAAATAATAACATCTAATGTGAATATTTAAGTTTTATTACTTGAGGATTTATCTCGCTTACATGTTTCGATCCTTACGGATCATCCTCAGAGGGTATCAGTACTTTCAGAAACTCCTATTACAATAGATGTTAATTCTATGGATACACATATGATGTCTAAAATGCACAATATATGCAATGTTCAACCTTCCACATTCATGGCAGCCTTCTTGGTGTTAAAACTTTTTAAAAAGTTTGTTTTAAAAACTTTCAAAATCAAGCTTAAAATTTATGAACCATACAGGTTCGCGTCAAATCTCCTATTGTTATTCGTGGAGGTGACTGGTCCTGTGCCGCCTGTTTATCTTGCAAAAGGAGATTCTTAGTATTTCCGTGTTTATGCGTGGCCTGCTGTAAACACAGCAGGCCTTTGTAATTGTTAGTGTGACGGACCAGAATGAAACAAAAAAAAAATCCTCTTTTCTTCCTGAAATGCATGCTGGCTTCACTCGTATATTTCTCAATTATCCCCAATTATTTGGTTTGATCCTGTAACCAATGAATTTTGGCTTGTTTCTTTGAGCAAATTGTTTTGAACATCCTTTGTCAAACCATGGCTTATTCTGCTACAATTTGTAATAACTCTGACTCTCTTTGGCAAAAATTGTGATATTCTCTGTGAGAGTTTCCCAACCTATAAGGGAGAGTCAGTAAATGGGTCACAAAAGGATATGAAACATAAAACGTGATATTCAAACCAAGAAAAAAACATATATGTCTCAATATATCCTCCACAAACAGTGATACACTCGTCCCACTGTTTTACCAGTGTGCAGAAATCCGCAGAACAAAAGTCTTATGACTGTTGTCTTAGGCACTTCAACACCTCCATTCCAACCTCTTCATCATAAGCAAAATATTTGCACTCAAGGTTGACCTGCTTTATGTGAATAACACTTTCCACCATAAACAGGAAACATTTCTTTATGAACATCCTTTGCAGTGAGTCCTTCTGCTCACAAACAAGACACGCAACAGAACACTGCTCTTCGGTAGTACACACTCAAGCACGGTCACCATTTTGACTACTGAAACCAGCCTCTAAATATGCGCATGTACTTCTACTACCTAGACCAAGGGTCTCCAAACTACGGCCCGTGATGTGATTTTATCCAGCCTGCAAAAGAATTGTGCAGAAATGCGCTAATTGAACTAATTTTCCAATGAGTACTGGTAAATGTGATTCCAAGCTTACTGACCTGTCATATCGTACTGCAGTTCGATGGCTTAGCTGTGGAAAGATTCTTTCGTGCTTCTTTCAGCTCAGGAATGAAACTGATATATTTCTTACCAAGAAAAACCATCACGAACCACTTTTATCAGATACTGAGTGGCTTTGGAAATTAGCCTTCTTTGCTGATCTGGTGAACCATATGAACCATTTGAATTTAAAGGTGCAGAGTGAAAATAACTAAGTCTGTGATTTATTTGCACTTATCAAGGCATTCAGAGCAAAGTTGATACTTCTGGAAAGTCAAGTGAAAAATTATAACTTTGTTCATATGCTATACTGTGCAGAGTTGCATAAAAAGGGTGAAGCAGAATTTCCTTCCTCATTTGCAAATTTAGTCATTTCAGATTTGAAAGAACAATTTCGGAAGCGATTTGCTGATTTGGATTCCAGTGCTCAGGAAATTAGATTGTTTCAAAATCCGTTTGACTGTGATGCTGCAGATGTCAAATTCAAATGGAAATTATTGAACTTCAGGAAAATTATCATATTAAAGACAAATACAAGGAAGGAAATTTCAACGAATATTATAAATTTCTGAACTCTGAGCAATTTCCAAATTTAAAGAAATTTGCTTGTAAACTTATCTCCATTTTTCAGACAACATATCTGTGTGAACAAACTTTTTCCCAGATGAAGTACATCAAGTCGAAATACAGGGCAAATTTATCCGATGAACGTTTAAAGTCCCTACTTGTGATTAGCGTTTCAAAATTTGAACCTCAATTTAATCAGATTTTAAGAATGCAAAAAGGGTTCCATCATTCACATTAATTGTTTTATTATAATTTGTGATGAAAATATGAGCATTTGCTGCTACTGTCTGTTGTCATTAATATACAATAATTTATTCTCACATACTTTGTATTTAGTTTATGAAATTCTGTGTTTTCAATAAAACTCATATACCTAGAGTTATTAATTTTTCATTTTATCCGTCCCGTTGAAAGTGCTGAATTACCTAATGTGGCCCGCGGTTCGAAAAGTTTGGAGACCCCTGACCTAGACTGAGCTGCTGGGCCGTGTCATAGCTTAAGCTGTTAGTCACTGGCTTCCCACCACAGCGGTCCGGGTTCGATCCCGGATCTGGTCAAGTGGGATTTGTGGTGGACAAAGTGGCATTGGGGCAGGTTTTCTCTGAGTACTTCGGTTTCCCCTGCCAATCTTCATTCCACCAACTGCTTCACAATCACCCTCACCTATCATCTGGGGCTGGTACAATAGGCCAAAAGTGGCCACAGTACAAGGGACTTAGTTACACCCCCACTAACAATAAAAAAAAAAAGACTGTGCTGCTACCTAGCGTTACATAAAGAAAATTTAATATGTCCATTACAGTTGTTTTACTTCCACTTGTGATATATTTACTGACTCTCCCTCGTATATTAATATCTACATCAATGTCTAAGTTTTCCAAGGCTGAGAACCTACAGGTATTTAAGGTTTAAAACTTACACTGTGTTTCATCCTGTACCTCATTTAGTTTCTTAAGATTCAGCCTCTTAAAAATGTGGTCAATTTGACTGCATCTTTCCATCAGTAGATGTGCAAGTGAATTTATTAACGTTATGATTTGGAAACATTATATCCTTCACAATCAGATTTTTGGATGTGGCAAAGTTTACTACTCTAACTCCATTATCATTACTAATTTCATGTAAACCTTCTTTCCCAACTGTTGGTTTGAAACTGTCTTCCCTATCTACTTTATGACTGAACTCTCCTAAAGTTATTTTCATATGGTATTTAGGGAATTTATCAAATACACATAGTTCATTGTAGATTATGCCCTTTATATCATCAATTTTATCCTGTTTGAGCATGAACATTCAGAACAATGATATCACACCATCAACCTCTTAAGTGCTATGTAAAATATCCTATCACTAACAAACTCTACCCTCTTAATTGCTGATATGATTTTCTTATGTATAACAAAAAATTGTACCTAACTCATTCTCCTTTCCACAGGAAAATGTATAGCCACCAGCTGGTTCGGTGACACCCTTGTAACCATATGACTTCCTGTACTCCCACTAAATCTAACTTATATTTGGATGTATCATCTCTTGAAACTGTTATGAGCAAACTTGCCCTGTACAGACTGTTCTATGTACCAAATCTCACATCTACTTCCATTTGCTTAGGCCATTTATCCAAAGAATCCATCTAAGTCTGAGCACCTCTGTAACATTTTGAAACAAAACTATTTTTACAGTGAGGAGTCGTTAGTCCCACACCCAACCCCCATGCTGGACCACCAAATGTCAACTGTCTGCATCCACTTGTTAGCTACCCTCCATCTCTGGAGGTTGTTTCCTCCATCCACAGCCTGAGAAAGTGCCATGAGACACACCTAACATGGTCTTAACCAGCACTATGCCTGGTAATTCTCTTGCCACTGTAATTCTTAATTCTTAATTTATTTACATCCACAAACTATTATACAAGTACAATTGGACAAATCAGTTTGAGCCATCTAAAACATTACAAGTCAACAACTCTTAAAAATGTACAAAATGATACACAAGACTACGAACAATACATTCATCTTAGGATCACTGTCCCCTTGCTGAAGCTAGCAACTGAGGATGACATCCCCAAGAAATCCAATATAAAGTAATGCATACACTTATACCATCTATGTACAACCACACCACAAAAGAACCAACCTGAGCCGCCAAACTACCGTCCATCATAGTTATTAAAAAATCTTTCAGAAAATAAAAAGTTTTGTGATAAATAACTTTTTAACTTATTTTTAAAAATTTTTAAAATTTCTGTTCTCTTTGTTTGTAATCCTAACATTCCATGCTAAAAAAATCTATTTTCCATTGCTTCGACGTCTCACAAACCTACGGACTATTTCCCCAGATGGCATTAATCAGTTGGTCTCTGTAGTGGAGGCATAATGCGTTTCCTGTGAGGTATGAACTTAGTTCCTATATACGCATAAAGTCTATGTCTCACAACCTTGTGTACCTCCATGGCCTGTTACAGGGATAGCTTTACCTTACATTTACCTAAAAGAAACAAAGAATGGTAGGTAGCAAGTAAGACAGAAAGCAAAATATGAAGAACTAGAGATAAATAAAGAAAAGAGAGCTACAGAAATACTATTAGATAGAAATAAACAAAAAAAAAGTGAGAAGACTAACAAAATACAGAGAGGAGCAGAAGGCACGATAAATATATAGCTAGATAGATGTTCGGGTTCAATTTGGGTCTGGTCAAGTGGGATTTGATGGGAAAAGTGGCGCTGGGGCAGGTTTTCTCTGAATACTTCGGTTTCCCCTGCCAATCTTCATTCCTCCAACTGCTCCACAATCACCCTCACCTATCATCTGGGGCTGGTACAATAGGCCAGAAGTGGCCACAGTACAAGGAACTTCGTCCCACCTCACTAGCAATAAAAAAAAATAGATAGATGTTAGAAAGGAAGATACATAGAGAAGACAGAAGAAACAAAGAGAAATTAAATGTGTGTCTCAGAGGAACCTGCTACCACCAACTCATCTTCAGTGTAGCATGAAGATGAAGGGCATAGCTTTCTCCGAAACATCAACAGCCCCAAAGTAGGAAGCGTCTGCTATTTTTGTCACTTATGTTTTTATTGTCCAGCAAATTACTACTATATTGAAACTCGCATGCCTGAGTGGGCTGAGCAGACAAATGGATGCTCCTCTGCTAGGAAGCCATTTCTCTCGAGAACTTATTTGCTTTACCCATCTTTCTCTTCGAATTTCTTACTGAGAGGAGCTGCGGTCAATGGGATAGGGTGCACTGATCCCTAAAGCGCACTGCTTTTGTAATATGCCTCTTTGTTGGAAGAAGCATGAAATTCCTCGATGACATGATCTGATATAATTTTGTTTCGTCCACTGAAGGTATTGTTAAAAGTCCTATGGTGCTCAAATGTAGAGTTGATTTGATCTTGTTACACAAGGAAATAAAAGGCAGCTGGGGTAGCTCAGGCTGTATAGTGACTTACTATGGGCTGGATGATCAAGGGGTCGGCGTTCAAATGCTGGTAGGATCAAGAATTTTCTCCACATCATCCAGACTGGCTGTGAGGCCTTGCCAGCCTCCTATTCAATGAGTACTTTGGGGGTATAGTGCTGGGCCATGAAGCTAACCACTCACCTCCAACTAGTGGCGAGATGAAGAAAACGTGAATCTATACATCTACTCCCCCATACATCTTCATGGCATAGTGATTGTTTTGTTAAGCACAGGGGCAATTTTACTTTACTTACTTATTTTCCATTTCTTAAGACTCTTCCAAATAATCCACTTAAGTGCAAGGCCTCAACTAACATTTCATAACATGTATATCTCATCATGCTGAGTTATCCCCATTCCCAAAGCTGAAGGATCACCCTTTTGCTGGTGGCTCATGACTGCCTATTCAGTACATTCTGGTTACCCTCCATACCTGAATAACATCCCCATCCAGAACCTGAGGACATGCCATGATAACTTGGGACCCACTTCAGATGGCATTAATTATACTAAACAAAGACTGCAATTAATTACAGACATGACATCTGAAAGCTGGAATAGTGGAGTCAGTGAAATGCCATAGAGATGTCCACTAGTGGGCAACAGCTCACATTCCAGCAGCAACAAATATGTACACAACAGAGGAACAGCAAGTAGCAGTGTTTTGTACTCAGTACATCTCAAAATTACATGAGGAGGAACAATGTAATGTGAGACAGAAAAATATGCTCATCAGTCCAATAGGACCTTGAACCAAGAATGACTGTGCTGGTGAGGGCCAGCAGTGATTTACCCAACTGACCAACTAACTATAAGAAAAAAAAGTTGTGACACAGAAAAATATGGTTGAGTCCCACAGGACCCAGAACCAGGAAGGAATGTGTAGGCTGGACCAACAGCAGTTTACCCATCTGAATGAGACAGGAATCAGATAGTCATGAGGCAGAAAAGCATTATCATGGGTCCTGACAGGGCCCAAAACCAAGAAGGTATGTGCTGGCAAACACCAGCAATAAATAACCATATCAGGCTCAGACTGTTGCCAGAAATCAGCTGTCAGCCATCCAGGACAGAGGCCATTAAGCACAGAAGCAACAGAGCATTGATGCAAGCCACTGCAATGCAACTAGTCCATGAAGAAACAGGAGACTGAGAGACTTGAAATGAGCTGTAGTTAATTCTAGAATGTGTAGAATAGTGACAGTTATAATTATTTGTCTTCACAAGTAACAAGCATCCAATAAATTCAACAATCAATCCTATTCATGTCTAATCACTAATATGTAACAACTTGCATCAGATAATGATAGAATGAATTACTGGTTCCAGACTAGGAGTGGATCCTGTTTCAAAGCTGGTAACAGACCAGGGGGGCAGGCTGGAACTGGTATCTGAGTAGTTCACCCAGAGGGAAGACACCATAGAGAAGAAAAGGGCCAACCAAAAAGAGATTAAGGCCAAGAACATATAAGAGCTGAGAGCACACATGAAGGTCAGCCACTATGGGCACCAATCATTAAAACCTGGACAGTCATAAACCCTGTCCATGAAATGATGAAGGCCACCATACAGCTTCGCACATAGCATACACATATACCAAAATTTTGGAGCAACCCACTGCCTCTATCAGCTTAATCAGAAATGTTGGCACTTTTCTACCAAATTATGCAGCACCACATACTTCAATATAATTTTGATACTCAAAGCCATAAGAACCTCACACCTCGCTGACTTCGTTATGACTTCCACCATCTACAGTGTAAAATGCTCCCCAAAACCCAAAATGCATTGTCTCTTAAACATAATGTTATACATTACACATGCTTCAAAAGACGTAACTAAAAAATGACAAAGTTACACTTTTCACTACAAAAAAAACGTACTTAATTGGTATGTCTGTTTACGCAATGATGCCCAATATGCAATATTGAAGTTCATGCCATCAGTCTAATCAACCATTCATTTATAGAAAGTACACGAACACTTCCGTGTCTCATTTGATACAGAATTACACGTCTCTTAATAAATACAAAATTACGATAGAGTAGAATAATCTGTTCTAATCTTATACACAGCTGGTAACTTGCTATGAGTCCCACAAAGGATATAATTACCTACTATAATTCAGAATCAACAGCCCCAATAACACGTCGTAAGAAACCTATGAAACTACGAATAATTGAAACGATTCACATGGCCGCATACTACGCATAGATCGGCAAAGATAACGATGATCACGATCATCACGATGATACAGCAAGGCAGAGCACGGATCACTATGGTGCAGAGCGATGCAGAGTACGTTCTGTCATAATGGTCACTTGCGATGTCTGCGGCACACCACGGAAACTGGAAACTGCAATTTCCGAGAATTCATAACTGACAGGGTTGAACACATGTTACTAAACGGAGCTGCGCTAATCGAGGAAACGGAAACGCAACTCGCGAAAAGACTGAGAAACTCAACTTCCGCGTGGTTTCCTACTGTCGTCTGTAATTTTATTTTTGTGCAGTTAATTGAGCAAGAGTCTGGCATATATGACAAACGCCACCAAGAGTATGCTAGGCAGGACAAAATAGATTTGGCTTGAGAAATAATTTCTCACGAGACGAAGGAGTCTGGATCTAGGTTAAGTTCTTTCGAAACAATATAAGCACGTCAGTTTAAATTGTCACAGAAGAAGCGATGAGTATTTCTCGCGCTTCTCCTGGAAGGCTTAGGTGATATATTTATTGTCGGTGAAGATGAGGAAGTGGCGCGCTTCCAGCATATGATGGAAATGCTTTATGGCCTCGTATATGGTCAGCAGTTCGTGATCGTATGCGCTCTATTTCTGCTGGGCCGGGTTGAGTTCCTTGGAGAAGAAAGCGAGGGGCTTCTAGGCCTTCTAGGCGTTCTTTACGCGTTGCTGCAGCACGGCACCCATGGCGGACGTGGAGTATGTGATGAATGCAAGTGGCGCGGATGAATTCGGGCGCGCTAGAAGAGTGACGCGTGAATAATTCTCCTTGCAGTTTCGAAGGACTTGTGAAGTTCAGGCGTCCAGGTGATAGGGCCGGAGCCCTTGACTCTGGGGCCGGAAAGAACATCGTGCAGTGGTACCTGGGTGGGCACCGCATTGGGCAGAAATCGAATGTAGAAATTCAGCATGACTGGAAAACGGCGGAGCTGACTGGTGGTCTTGGGAGGGTGGCAATCCTGAAAATTGATTACCCGTTCTATCACTTCTTTCAGAGGTCGGGAACGTCGAGAACATACTCAGTGGCCAACTTACAACCGAGAAAGGTCAACTCGGGTGCTCGGAAGACGCACTTAGTCGGGTTGATGATAATTCCATGCCTTTGAAGTTGGTTGAAGGGAGCAAATAGATGTTGTTCATGCTCCTCGAGTGACCAGGAGAAGATAAGGATATCGTCCAAGTAGGAGAAACAGAATTCGATTCCCTGCAGAAAGTCGTCCATGAAACGCTTGAAAGTCTGGGTGGCATTGAGCCGATTGGAGTGATAATGGTGCTGTTCTATATATGGCCGGGATGGACGGGGTGTTGATGTAATCTGTCACCAGGTCGATCTTGGAAAAGGTGAAACAATCGAAAAGCCGGTGGTAATAGTCATGGATATGACGGACAGGGTAGCGGTCGGGGATGATCTGGCCGTTTAGTGTTCTGTAGTCGCTGCATGGATGTCAACCGTTTTTTCTTCCCGGGTACAGTGTGTAGGGCGGAAGACCAGTGGTTAGCTGTGCCGTCCTGGAACATGGTGTCGAACTCGGCTTTGGCGATAGGGAGCCGGTCTGGTGTCCGGCAAGTGATCGGTGGGCCTGGTATAGTCCGGGTGTGATGGAGAGTGATGTGCCCCCAGTGATGGTGATGAGGCTGGGCATTAGCGAGCTGGCGGCTTGGGGCGGTACAGACAATGAAGTAAACCTATCCAGTAAGCGGTTGTGTTGTCAGTCCACCACGCCGATGAGGGGGTGTGTGACGTCGGACACCGCGAACCGCCATGTGAAATCCCGGCGTAAACAGAAGGTGAGGCTGAGAGACGGCTGTTCATAGGTGGGGATTGTAGTGCCGGTAGACACACAGAGGTCGTAGCTGACACATTCTTTGCGGCGTGAAATGAGCCTGCAGGGGTACAAACAGAGGCCCGAACCCGTGTCTATCAGGTATTGCCATTTACTAAAAATGCCCTTGGTTTTAGAACAGACATGTGCCAACGTTGATGGCCGCTGCGTTAATTTCCGTGCTAGCCGTAGGCACAGGGCTGAATACACTTTTGCGCCTGGGCTCTGTAGCGGCAATGGTACCAGCAGAGAGTGGATGCAGCATGATCTTGGGAGGAGGATCTATTGCCCGGGCGGCGGTTCCTGGAAATGGGGCAAGGATATCTGGAGCTGGAGCGAGGCGTATCTGCTCGGCGCTGAGTGCTGACACATTTCAGGAAAGGTCCTCGATACCCTGCCGAAGTGCGGAGCTGTCAGGGAGTGGGATAAAGCACGCGAGCGCCGGCTGGGATTCGGCCTCGTAGATATGGTCCTCACAGCGTGCCGCGGCGTCGAAGTCGTCCTAGGGCTGGCCGGCGAGAATGTACTGTGAATTGGGGGTAGTCGGGGGACCACATGCTGCAGAAGAAGTTGTCTGGCACGTCTAGGGAGAGGACCTTCAGGTGGCTCAGAAATAGAGACAGCTTGCAGTCGCCCATCTCCTAGACCATAAGGAGATGGCGGTTTTGTTGCTCTATCGAGGGGGACAGCCTCCTCACCAGCTCGGTCCTCAGTGTGGTGTGGGAGTATGGTACCAGTGGAGAGGTGATGATGTCCTCTACTTCTGTAGTGTACCGATGGTCCAGCTACAAGAGCACATAGCAGTGCTGCTGATACCAGGAAAGGTTAACTGTATACTCTGACTGACTGAAAAAACTTTAACATCCGAAATGCATTGATAGGTACACTGATGAGTATGTTCATCATAGCCAAAGTACCCAAATTGTGCATTCAGACATTTAAACGCCGTTAGTGGAAGCTCTTGCACAAGTCACTAGTAGAAGCACATGCACAATCCTAAATGTTTATTTTTAAATATAGTAAAATTCAGTATAAATACATTTTTTGTTATTGTTGTCTGCTTGACGTATATACAGGGTTCTACCCATGGGTCATTTAACTGAATCTCACTTTTGTGTAATACTCCTTGAAGCACCCGAGAAAACACAGTCCCATGTCACATATTTTGCCTTTCAATTTCATCATCTTCCAAACAACGTTTCACTGCCGTTGTATGATAAAATGAAACTACAATATCCAAAGTCTCTATGAACTCACAGAAAAATGAATGCACTCTGTGGGTGCAGGTGGAGGGAAAATTATTACAGTTTTCTTTCACAAGTCACTGATCAGGTAAACATTAGTCTTAAGGCAAATGTGCAAGAAAAATTCTATTTCATGTATTTGACAAGTGTGTCTGTCTGTCTGTTGAGACAGTTTGGCTCTGACTATATAATTTAACAGCAATTGTTAATCTATGCTAGAACTAGCCAAGCAGATTTAATTCTGGGCAATATTCTTTCTTCACCGTTGAAAAAAGTGATCCTTTGCCACCACAGCATGCCACTGTCCTCATGCTCAGAATGGAGGAAATGGCCTCAAGATATGGAAGGTAGCTACAAATATATTGAATGAGCAGTTGAGGACAGCCAACAAGGGGTTGTCCTCCAGCATGTGAGTGTGGCATTGGAACAACAGCTCCTGACTATATTTAGAAGTATGTATGTATGTATTATGGGAGGGGGTGGGTTTCCCCATGCACTTAGACCATTTATCGGTCCATTGTGCATCCCCCTTTTAATTTCTACTGTTGCCATACCCTACCGGTAATGGTGTGTGCCATCAACCTCCGTAGAGCCAACAAGGTCGGCCCCCGGTACCTTGATGCTTCCCCCATCCACCAGAGGCATTGGAGACTACTTGGGCGGGAAAGGCCCTGTAATTTAGCTCAGAGGTCTCCTAAAGACATGAGGTTCTTTTATGTGCCGTAAATCTACGACATGGGACACGCGGCTTAAAGTCCCTCCCAGAGAACTTGTTCCCTGAATTTTTCTGCCCTTAAAAATTCCACGACCTCCGCCGGGTTTGAACCCGTGTACCTTGAGTCATGAGGTGGAACGTTACCCCTAGACTACGGAGGCCGCTTATATTCAGAAGTAGCTTAAGTATGTATGAATTTTTTTTGTATGTAATACATTTTTTTTCTCATTGCTTGTTCCATTAACAGTTCATTGGAGGTAACTTTCCGAATAGCCTTCATAAAATCAAAATTTCAGCCAGAGAGATTCTAGGTTATTACAAATTTAATCAGAATAAAGAGTGGTATGACAAAGAATTTTTAAAACTATTATCAGAATGGAGACAAGCCAAATTGCAATGGTTGCAGGATCAAAGTCAAATAAATGGAGCTAATCATAACAATGTAAGACACGAAACTACCAGACATTTCAGGAACAAAAAGAGAGAATATGTGAAAGAAGAAATTAATGAGCTTGCAGGAAACAGTAAGAACACCAGAGACATGTGAGGTAAATTTATCCCTATGCTTTATTAATTTAGCACCATGCCATGAAGAAGTACAGGGGAGTGGATGTGTAGATCTACATATTTGGCACTAGTTGGAGGTAAGTGGTCAGTTTCATGCTCTGGTCACTTTACGTACAAGGAAAGAGCCCCTGGTACCCGTTGGATGGGAGTGTGGGTGGACCCCAACGGCAGTATGAATGCTGTGGAAAGATAAAATTTCTTGTCTCTGCCGGATTTCAAACCTCAACTGTCCAGCCTGTAGCCTGTTGCTATAGCAACTAGGCTATCCCAGCTCCCACATTTCTTTAATCACTTCCCTACATAATCCATCCAACGTCCAATGTTAAGTGAGCAGAACCATATAGTTTTTTGGAACATCAATTCACACATTGAAAATAGTTTATATAATCATGTATCAAAAATAGTCATGCTCCAGATCTGTAGTCCTTTTGAATGTTAGGAAGTCCAAGTCTGGCTAGCACATCTTAAGTTATTCCAAATATATCAGAGCAACAATTGTTCAGTATGCTGTC